CCTGCGGGCTCAGGCAATCCACTCACCTCAGCCTCCCAAGGCGTGGGATTACAGGCTGAACCACCGAGCCCGGCAATTTATTTATTTTTTATGGAGACGAGTCTCACTATCTTGCCCAGGCTGGTCTCAAACTCTTGGCCTCAAGTGATCCTCTTCCCTTGGCCTCCCAAAGTGCTGGGATTACAGGTGTGAGCCACCGTGCCCAGCCCACCTCCAGGTTTTATAAAGATTAAATTTTCCTTATTTTACTTTAGTGCTTTGTTCCTCGTGAGTGTGTTAGACTGCTTTCAAATGCAAGTAACAGAAAACCTAATTAACAATGCGAATTATTCAGTGGTTCAGAGTGGGGAAGCTCAGGGTTGGTTTGGTGACTCAGTGATTTTACTGAAAGATCCAGGCTGTCTCTGTTCTTCTGCACAGCCATCCTCTGATGGTTGGCTTTTTGTCCATAGACTTGTAGCTTCACGGTTATAGAATGGTTGCCACAGCTCTAGACATCACATCTCCACACTGCAGTCAAAGGCAAGTAGCTGAGAGTAGGTTGCCAGGGTGGCAAGAGAGCTCCACATTATGCACCTGTTTGTTAGTTTGTTTTTCATCAAGAAGAAATATCTTTTCCAGACCCTCCTGCCCACACCTTTTCTCCCACCAGACCTTCCCTTACATCTCATCAGCCAGAACTGGGTCACACTGGCAAACCCCAGCTCCAAGAGAGGTTGGAAAAGCGGGTATCTGTTGTTTTTCAGACTCTATGTGCTGGTCTGATCTATTGATTAGCGTTAAGTTTAACGCATAGAACAAAAGCCTAAATGACATTGGCTTAAACAGGAGAGAAACATATTTCTCACATAAAAGAAGTGGCCCAGTGCAGTGGCTCATGCCTGTAATCTCAGCACTTTGGGAGGCTGTGGCGGGAGGACAGCTTGAGGCCAGTAGTTCAGCCTGGGCAACATAGCAAGAACTCATCTGTAAGGAAGAAGAAGGAAGAGGGGGAGGGGGAGGAAAGGGGGTGGAGGGGTGGGTGGGTGGCTGGCAATCTGTGGTTGGTATCAGCAGATCCATGATGTTGTTAGGGGTCCAGGCCTTTTCCAGATCTCTGCTCTCGCATCCCCAGGTTGTGTCCCTGGCCCTCAGTGTCCAAGCCATCAGCAAATACTCCCTTTTCTCCTAGAAGTCCCACAGGGATCTTCCGCTTATCGTTCATTGGCTAGAACTTAGCTGTAGCAAAGGAGGCTGGGAAGTGTAGTCTTTTTGCAGGGTGGTCAAATGCCAAAGTAAAACTCCAGAGTTTGTGACTAACGGAGAAGATTGTGTCTATGTTAGGTATCCTAGAACCAGGCCCTGAGACAAGGGTTGTGTGCAAATAACTTGTGACGGAAATGCGCCCAGGGGACACCAGTGAGGACACAGCAGGAGGGCGACCACGCCAGGAGCTGGCGGGGGGGGGGGGGGGGGGGGGGGGGGGGGGTGCTCGGGACTGCAGAGATGTCCCCGCCCCAGGTAGGGGATCTGGGCTTCTGGGTGCCAGCGGGTAGCAGCACAAGAACAGCCCTCCTTGCTCCCGCCCCGAGAGCTGCAGGAACTGCGGGTTGGAAGCAAAGGCATGCTGAGTGCTAGGGGCAGACCCAGGGGAAAAGGAATCTTGGGATGTCTGCAGAGCCTCGCGGGGTCCCTGCGGGGATGATGCACAGTGGGAAGCAGGCAGCGGCTTCTACAGCTGGCGACCGAAGGGGAGGGCAGCCGTAGGAAGACGCCGGCCCACGGGCGGTCTGTTCAGCGCATGTGCACTTAAGGCCTACCAGACGGGAGAAGCACGGAGCGTCTCAAACGAGGGGAAGACAGACACACGGAAAAGCCCCGGGTAGCAAGAGAGCTGTGTGCGCTCAGGGGACTCTTCCGAGGTTGGTTATTTATTTTGTTGTTAGAGACAAGGTCTTGCTCTGTTGCCCAGGCTGGAGTGCAGTGGGGTAATCATGGCTCGCTGCAACCTCAAAAACTCCGGGACTTAATTGGCCTTTCTGCCTCAGCCGCCTGAGTAGCTGGGACTACAAGTGTGTGCCACCATGCCCTGCTAATTTTTAAAAAGTATTGTTTTTAGGCCGGGCACAGTGGCTCACTCCTATAATCCCAACATTTTGGGAGGCCGAGATGACAGGATTGCCTGAGGTCACAGGTTTGAGGCCAGCCTGGACAATTTGGTGAGACCTCATTTCTACAATAAATCAAAAAATTAGCAGGGTGTGGTGGCGCATGCCTGTAGCTCCAGCTACTTGGAAGGCTGAGGTGGAAGGATCACCTGAGCCCAGCAGGTCGAGGCTGCGGTGGCCAGAAGCATGTCATTGCACTCCAGTCTGGGCGACAGAGTGAGACTCGAACAGAAAAGAACAGAGCAGAACAGAACACAACAGAACACAACAGAACAACAAAAAAATTGGTCTTGCTGTGTTACCCAACCTGATTTGAACTCTGGTCTCCTGTCTCCACATTCCAAAGATCTGAGATTATAGGCATGAGCCACCATGCCTGGCTAAAGTTACTTATTTTTAATAGGAATAACAATTACAATAGGGACAGACTGATGTTGATCAGAAACACACATTTAAAAAATTACAGCATTTATTGTAGAATCGTGGATTTTCTGGAGTTTCCTTCACTGAGAACTGTCCATGTTCTTTGTCCATTTATCTGTGCGATGGTTGAATTTCTGGTTGATTTGTAGAAGGTCTTTCAACACTAGGGAGATCAGGCCTTGGTCTGGCTTGTGTATCACTAATATTGTTTTCTCGGTTCCTATACAGTTGTTTACATGCACAGTTTGTACTTCCTTGCCAGACACTGTGTGTGGTGTGACATTACTAACTGTACCCCTGCTTTCTCTAAAAGGCATGCCACTTTAGGTCTTATGTACCACCTCCCACCCAGATCTCGCCTCCTAGGGGTTGTTGGCAGAATGGGCGATGCGGGAGAAGAGGAAGAGCTCAGCCAGCAGGCTCTGGGCCCCAGGCTTTGTGCAGAGGGAGTGACCTGATATGTCATATTTTCTAGTTTCTTAGTCATTGCTGTCATTGCCCAGGTTTTCATGAGCATTTTTACCTAGAGAACTTAATTTGTACTTCAGAAACATACTGGTAATGAAGCTACAATGAATTTTTATTTTTATTTTTTGAATCAGGGACTCACTCTTGCCCAGGCTGGATTGCAGTGGCACGCTCATGGCTCGTCACAGCCTCCATCTCCTGGCCTCAAGTGATTCTTCTGCCTCAGCC